TTAATACTTAGGGTCCTAAATAAATAGGGTTTTTTATATTAAGTTATTAAAAGGTTTAATAATATTAATATAATCCTTAAAAATTATTAATAAAAATTAATAAATTTTAAAAATCTTTATATATCCTTAACGTTTTATAATATAAACTAGTTCTTAATTACTTTTATTTTTAATATTTATATATAAATTTATTTTAGTATAATAATATATTTAAAAAAGTTTACTCTTTATATATAGAATTTATATTTAAAAATTTAGTATATAGTTTAGTATTTTAGAGTTTTTAAAATATTATATAAATATATTCTTTATATATTTTAAAGTTAAGAAAAATAAGAATATTATTAATATAAATAATAATAAAAATATTAACGAATTTTTAGAATACGTAGTTAATTATTATTTAAAAGTTATTAAAGTATTAATAAGTTTAAAAGTATAATAAAATATTTAAAAAGTCTTTTATGAATTTAAAATACTATTTTCTATTTATCTTTTTTTAATTTATATTTAGTTAAATACTTTTTAAAATTTATTATAATAAACTAATTAGCTTTATAAAATAAATTTCTAAGCTTAGTAATAAATAATAAGGAATAATAATTCTTTTTATAATTTTATTAAGTTTTTATAGTTAATAATAGGTCTTTATTTTAATTCTTTTTTTAATATAAAAATAGGGTAATATTACGAAAGATTTTAAAAATTAAATATATTTTTTATAAGTCTTTTATTAATATATTTATTAAAATAATCTTATTTTTTTAGTTTATAGGATATATAGGGAGGAACTTAAGCTATATTTCTTTTTTAAATTTAATTCTTATATTTTAATTATTATATTTTAATAATCCTATTTTTTAAGTTTTATAAATAATTTTAAATATATATAGTATTTTTAAATATAGTTTAAAATTATTATAATTCTAATTGTTATTATTATATATAAATATTTTATAGTTTTTATTATTTTAATAAAAATTATATATTATATTTATTCTCATTTTTAAGTATTATTATAAATCTATTTAAACCTTTTTTTAAATCGTTTAATAATTAAATTTTCTTATAGGACTTAGTTAATAATCTAATCTATTTATAAATTATATTTTTATAACTACGAGATTTTCAAAATAATATCGAAGTTTTTAATTTTTATAATATCGTATTAGAAATTATTTTTATTAATAATTAATATATATTAAAAGTATATAGTTTTTAGTTAATATATTTAATATTATAATTAACTTTTTTTACTATTTATAATCAATATAAATTATTTTTATATTTATAATAAGTCGAGCTTTTTATTATTTTTAATAATATAAAGCTTTTTATATACTATTATTAATTATAAGGTATAGTTTATATTTATATATTTTAAGTTTAATTTATAAATATACGTTATTATACTATTTAGTTATATATAGGAACTTATTTTTTTTTTGTTTTTATTATTTTTATAATTAGCTTTTTAGTTTTTATTATTTTATTTTTAGTTAGTCCTTTTATTTAATTTATTTTTATCGTTCTTTCTAGCTTCGTATTTTTAGAATATAATAGATTTAATATTAGTTATATATATAATCGTCTTATTTTATATAATAACTATTTTAGTATTATATAAGGAAATATAAATCTAATTTAAACGTTATTTTATTAAATTTATTAAAGTATATAAGTATTTAGTTTAGTAACTAATTATTAATATAAACGTCTTTAATAAGTTAATTATTATATCTTTATAAATAAAAATAACTATTTTTTTAAGTAAGAGGTACTAAAAATACTTATTATTAAAGTACTTTATTTAAAATAATTCCTTATAAAAAGGTCTTTAGTATTAAATAAAAAATAGTCCTTTTTATTTAGAGTATTATAAGTACTTTTTAGTTCCTTAGTTCTATAAAGTTATATTATTTATTTATTTTTATATAAGTTAATATTTTTATATTATATAGTTTATTAAAATCCTTATTAAAGCTAGTATTATTTATTTTAAAATAGGATTTATAGTTAATCTCTACCTAAGTACGTTATTAAGTAATATTATAAAGTTTATTTAAATTATAAAATAATTCTTTATTAAAAATATAATTATTAAAACTCATTTTAAGTTTATTTTTTTAAATTAGAAATTTATTTTTATTTTTAATTTTAAAATCGAGGTCGGGCTTTTAATAATTTTGATTTTATTTTTATATTTTAAGTTTTTAAGCTATTCTTTAACTTTGTAAATAAAATTTTTATTTTTATTATTTTATTATATTATATAAATAAACTTAGTTAGATTATTATTTAATTAGGGTCTTTTTTTAAAATAATTATTTTTATTATTTCGTTATATTATATAAACGAGATTATTTATAATTTCTTTTATATTAGGGCCTCTTTTTAAATTTAAAAGTTACTCCCTCGTATTTATTTAAAATTTTTATATAATTTTTTTAAAAAATAAAAATATTTTTATAATAAGATCTATTTTAGTTTTTTTATATTTTAGTAAATTTAAAGAGTATAGTAATATATTTAATATTATTATTTTTAAAAATAAGAAGTTAGAAGTAAGTATTTTTTTAGTTATTATTACTAAGGTTTTAATAAGTAATAAAGTAGTATTATATCCTAAACGTTCTTTATTTTTAAGCTTTTAAGGTATTATTTTATTTATTTTTATTATTTTAATAAATAAGGTAGTTATTATTATAATAAACTATTTATAAAAGTTATTTATAAAAGACTTTTTATTTATAATATTAGCTTATTTTTTAAAATAAGTTAGTATTAAATATACTTAGGTTATTAATAATTTTTAGTTATATATCCTAGCTTATTATAGTTATAGTACTTAAAATCCTTTTAAGTTAGTTATTTTTTTAATAATACTAAGGTTTATAAGATTATTATATTATTTATAAATAATACTTTATTAGTTATTATTTTAATTATTATAAAGTTATTAGTTTATTTAGAAATTACGTTAAGGTTATTATTAATATTTATGTTTAATATTAAGTTTTTTTTTTTTTTATATATTTATAAAGTTAGTTATTAATTTTAATAATAAGTTCGTTATATTAAAAAAGTTTTTAATTTATTAAGCTTAATTAGTTTATCTTAACTTTATTTTTAATCTTTAATAAAATATAAATATTTTTATATTATTAATAAGGTTTAGTTAGGTATTAAAATATTTAAACTTAATAAAGTATTTTTACTAATTTAGTTTATTATAACTATACTAAGTTATATTTAGCTTATTATTTTTATTAAGGTTTTAAAATAGGGACTTAAGAGCTTTTTAAATTTACTAAAGTTATAATAAATATTACGTATTTTAATAAAATACTTATTAAAAATCTTTTATTAAAATACTTTTTTAAATAAGTTTAAACTATTTGGGCTTATTTTTTAAAGAAGTTAATAATATATATAACTTTCTTAGTTTTATTAATAAAATCTTCGTAATAAAAGTTTTAATAATTTTTAACTTAAATTAAAAACTTTTTAAAAATATTTAGGTACTATTATAAATAAGTATATTAAGTTTAAGTTTTTATTATTTTTTTAAATAAGGGTATTAATAATATTAATAATAGCTTAGAGAGTATTAATTTTTTAAAAAGCTTAAATATTAGTATTTATTTCTTATTTTTAAGTTAGATAATTTTATTTTTAAGTCCTAGATATACTAAGGCTATTCCTAAACTATTAGATTATAATTTTAAAGTTTTAAAGCTTATTTATAGTTTTATTATATATAATTTATATTTTAGTAATATTTATATTTTTTTAACTTTTTATAGAATTATTTATAAATATCTTTTTAAAAATAATTTTATTATTAAAGTTAATATTTATAAGGGCCGTTTTTATTTTTTTAGCTAAGTTTTAAATAAGTTATTTAAAAAAATAAATAAGCTTAGAATAAGTAATTTAGTTAAAATATAAGAAAATATTATTTATATTATTTAATTAGTTTTTATAAGATAAACTTATTAAATAAAAGTAATTAAAGTATTATAGTTAGCTAGTTATAATAAGTATATTAATAAAAATTAAAGTTATAATAATTAAATAAATAGTATTATAGTTATAAATAGCTTTTTAAAACTATATTTATATATTATAAAATAAGTAAGGCTTTAATAATTAATCGTAGTTTTATTAAAGGGGTTTTATTAAAAATAGCTAAAAATAATTATAAGATTTAATATTAAGTTAATTATTAAAGAAATTATAAAGGTTTATTTTAAACCTAGCTTAAGTTTATATTATATATAAGTTTTATCCTTAAATATATTTTTATAATATTTTATTTTATTTATTAATAATTAAAAGTAAATACTAATAATTGCTTACTTAGAGTAATTATAATAATTATTTTATTACCTAATTATTTTTCTTATTTATATATAACTTATTTTATAATTTTTTATTTTATAAAATAACTCTTATATTTTTAATCCTATATATATATAGTATACCGTAACTATTATAAGCCTGCAGGGTAGGCCCTAGTTTTAATTATATATATTAAGTTATAATATAATCGTATATAAATATATTATAAGTCTGGGCTATTTAAGTTATATAATAAGACGGAGATTACCTTATTATTAATATTAGGCTGAGTTCTATTCGTTTTTATTTAATTAGTTTATAACTTAGTTTTAAGCAGACGTTTATTATTATTTATTCCCTCTAAGCGCGTGCATTAACGAGATTTGCTATGTACTTACTTAGGAAGCACCGCAATCTTATTAGCCATTCTCATAGTTGGGGATTTAGCAAGGGGCAGTGTGTGGTATTACAGCATCTTCAACATAGACTCAAACTGTGAGTGATGAATAACTAAGTTGCTCAAGAACTTACGGGATAGTCATGTTGGGCCTTGGGCACGGGGACGTCATGAAAACACAGCAAGGGCCCCAATTCATGGGCTTACCACCTGAGTCGGTTGTGGGGCATGCACCTTTCATATCTCATTATAACACTGATACGGTCGAAAATATGTTTTATTATTCGAAGTCCTTCTCTCTCCATACATCCTGTGTGCTGTGATGCGTTCTGCTTCTACCGCCCCACGTTGGCCAAAGCCTGACCCATCAACGTGACCAAGAGCTGGAGATTTCCACCTGTAATTAAGACTGATTGCTGACCCCTGGTCCTTTATCTTCACTGGCTTTCAGGTTTCGGCCTGAGCTTCCTTCTGCTTCTCGGGCTTGCGTGCGTAAACAACGTGGCTGAAACCCATGGTTAGTCTGTTCCGGGTCATAGAAAATTGATCATTGGTTTCGTGGCAATGACTCACAGGTGGAAATACGCTTGGAGCTTTGGATCTCTGAGGGCTTTACGCATCTCTGCAACGAAGACGATGATCTCGGCATACTCCCACCCCATGATCTCCTTGAGCAAGAATAAGGCAAACCCCTCAAGTGATTGATCATTGTACAGCAAATTGCACTCGCCAACCTCCTTCATCTTTGGATCCTTAGGCCAAGCACCAATAGGGATGGAATATCTCTTCTCAACGATGTCGACATAGCCGACTGCTTCAAGAGCTCTGGCAATGCCGCGGTTGTGGGTCTGGGTCAGCGTCTTGCCGAGCTTGTCAGCTGCCTCAAAGAAGACTGGCGCCCACCGACTGAAGACGTGGTCTTTGGGTATATCGTCACCGTAAAGCTGCGATCGAGTCGTGATATCGAATTCCTTGACTTCGACATAGCCTCCGGGAACCAGATGATCGAAAGCTTGTTTGTACAATGCCGGCCAATCCGCGATACTGGCTTCCAGGTGGCGGATATGAATGAAGTCGAAGTCCGCGGACCATGTCCACGGCTGCTCGATGTCGTCAACTTGAAATTTGCAGTTCGGAGGAACCCAGCCAGGCTGGATGGGAGAGATGTCGACACCAGTGACTTGAGCAGACGGAAATTTGTCAGCGAAATCGCTAGATTCTGGGTGTCAGAACAAAACGTTTCGAGATCTGAATTTAGAAACTCACATAGCCCAGATACCAGTTCCAGTTCCGAGATCGAGGACTTTCTATGGGGCATTTTAGAAACCAGAGATTATTCATCGGATCAAAGTGAGCTTGCTTACTTGCGGGCTGTCGCCAATAGGCGCCAAGAACAATTTGTCATCGAAGAAAACGATCTCCCAATAGTGACTTGTAGGAGACATATCAACGTCAGCTGCGATGATCTCACGACTTTCATTTGCACTAAGGAGGCAGTTGGCAGGCAACTTCATGCTTACGCAATGTCCAGCGCTTCGTTCTGCTTCTCGTCATTGGGACCCCAGTAGTCCGTCTTTTGGGAAAAGGTTCGGCCATGTATGCGACGGTACTCAGTGATGCTTTCGCTCAAAGACGCTGTAGAGGTAGTGCGGATACTGCCAGTATTAAACCCCGTATTTCAGTATTCAGTACAGTCGGATGCGCGATTATGAGGGTTAAGTCGAAATAGAAATCACCTCTCTGTATCTGCCTGAGAGCTTTCCTCCCCATCGGCATCAATACCTTCATCCTGCACTCCATGTCAGTACGCTGGTCCTTCTTCGAACGCTAATGCATGATTGTGTTCTCTTCTACATCTTTCATAATCTTCGATCATCAACATGATTGTAAGTAGCAAACGGCATAAGGTAGCTCACATGGTTATCAGCGTCTACAGTCGCCGCAATCTCATTTGCAGGAGTGGCGGCTGCCGCAGCCGCGACGTTCGGAGCCTGCATTTCGCTTGAGTTCTGTCAATTGTGCGTGCAGGGTGGATGTGCAATGTTGTGAATGAAACAGTGAGAATGGAATATGGATGATGTTCAAGAGCAGGAAAGAGGTAAAGACCGCGTGGAACACGGAATTGCCCCTCACTTCAAGTGAGCAGTTTGGGTGCTCCATCGATTCTCCCTTCAAGTTGATCCACTCCAGGGTCTCGGCGAGCGCCTCCGTCTCCGCGAGCGAATGATAATCATTGTTGCGGTCACACGAAATGCAGGATTTAAGCGGTTTTCGGAAGGTAAACGCTGGTTTCCACGTTCAGAGATGAACCAACAGAGGATCAGTCCCAGTAAGTGCATGAGGTGACAGGGATTAGGCTCTGTTGGTTCCAACCGAGGCAGAACGCCTGTAGCTTTAGTCAGACAAGTCTCAAAAACCAGATATACAATACAGGACTTCTTTCTCAAGCTTTTGCGGAGATATCGATGGAACGTTCAAGCAATCTCGACTTAATTACAGACTTGCAGGGCTCTGAAAATTGCACTGGTGAGTTTGAATATTTTCGCGCGGTTACAAGAACTGCACTCCGCCAACATGTTCACTCAATTGCTAGTATTGATGGGTTCATACCTTGAAGACGTGAGTACAACTAATGCCATTCTCTTATTCTACTATTAGAGTCTTTAAGGCATAGGCTTAATACCGAAACATCGTCCAACAAGCGAGTAAAGTATATCATCCTAAGGACCAAGAAACTACAATTACTTGACCGTTGAACTCGTCATTTTCAATTGCTCGCAGTTTTCCCAAGGCCCATGTGTCATAAAGTCTATAAATCTGCCAGTTGGTACCTAACACTCCTCACCCGATGAGCTCGTGGCAGTAGACGCCCAGAGAAATGAGAAGCATATGTAAAGCTGAGAAAAAGCAAACTGTATGCTACAAGCACCTACCGTGTCTTCACGTGGCAATTTTCCGCACATAGACGGAACATGTACACCCATTGGATTCTTGGTACTGACGAAAGCGCCATCTTTGCCCATTCGCTTTGCTCCTTCAGCTTCCAGTTCTCCAATCCGCTATCAGCGACTCCGAACAGCCCAGGGACTGGCGTCACATCCCAGTCGTTTGCCTTTTGCAAGCCGAGGTCAGCTTGTTGGTCATGCCAACGTCCCAGCAGAAATCTCGCCTTCCAGGTAGTAAGAAGCTTTTGCTGCATTAACCCCTGCGTCGAGTCCGCATCGAGCCTCTGGAAGAAGTCTTTGGTCTCGCCATCTTCTTTGGGGCCAAAGATACTGTGGAAGTTCGCGTACTCCTCCATCTGTTTACGATTTCCCACAGGAATTAAGACTGCAGTTCCGAGTTAGTCTCCGCATAAAGAATCAAATGAGCTCGTGCAGACTTACCGATGCGCTGCTCGCCATTGAACCCCCAAAGTCCAGATTGTGTTGCAGCATCGATGTCAGCATGAATGACAACTATCTTCCGACATACTAAGAAAGTTTCGATGCTCCAAAGAGTGCGAAAATTCTCCTGGTCACTCAAAGGTGGGAAGAGTGTATGTAGGATTTCTCCTGTGACGCACACCGTTTGGGCGTACTCTGCGACGGGAGATAGGTATTTGAAGGGTCCCATGGGAGGACGAGCTGACCAATAGTGACCACAACTCGAATCCCAATCAAGGAATATGATATTTCTGCCCGGGGAACGATCAAACCACAAGTCAACTGGTTCTCTGCTTGTGGCAGTCTTTGTCTGCCATTTCTCATCTCGCGGGACTGAAAACCCCGCAACTTGTCTCGATTCACGACAGACGGCCGCGATGACTGGAGGAGTAGAGTTGAGCTTGAACGTCATTTGGTGTGTACACTTCTCGGTTCCGCCATTTTTCGACATCGATCCATTGTAGATGTACCCTCCCTTATGAGGTTTGTTTATCTCGACAATACGAACGCGAGGTAGACATTCATCCCAAATGGCTCGGCGAAGCTCTAGAGGGAGCCGAGGGAAGAGATGGAATTCTTGAGGCTGTAGTGTTGCCATTCTTTCACTCTGTCTGAAAAGTGTTTTTGGGTTGTAGGGAACAAGAATCCACGGAATTCATCTGAATTTGTCGGGTTTGCTGTCAAGAGGCGGTCGCATCTAAGGAACCTACTTGTAACATTGAGGAAACCCGACAACGTGGGAAGCCCTGGTTGACAGGTGGATCCGCCAAATGCCGACGTGTTGATGCATTCAAGACTATCCTAGGCCCACGATGCCGACCCCGCCTGGCAGCAAGAACAACGTTCTCTGCAATGAGTCTAAAAAGCCGGGCAGAATATTACACAAATCTTTACCTTACTCGAACATAATCAAATTGCGCAAGCTGCTCGACTAGCTAGGACTTGGCGTGAGTTGACAGGCCCAATTGACCAATAGCAAATTACTCGCTATCGCTATCGCAATTTACACTCAAAGCCGACGATAAGAGTCTATTCCGATTTCCGAAATGAGCTGGCGGGGCCCCGGGATCGGCCCTTGACGATGACAATAAAAGTTGTGGCGATTCGCTGTTGCGTCTCATGTTCAGTCACGCCCGGCATTGGATCTTTCAGCCCGTCAATTCCTCAATCGCAATGGTGAACGTTTGGGCATCAGCGCTTCTCGGCGCTTCCACGTTGAGCGCCTACGCTCAAGCTCAAGTTGGCGAGACAGCACCACTTCTATCGTATGCCAATGTTACGTCTGTCCTCGACACCATCCTTGCTCGCGGATACATAAACGTCGGCACAACTGGGGACTACAAGCCTTTCACGTACCTCGTCACGAACCAAACGACCCTGCCGAACACTACAGCAATCAACACGACCTACATTGGCGCCGACATCGATGCCGCACAGTCCCTGTCCAACGCCCTTGGCCTGCCGAAGCCTCCCCGCCTCGTCGCGACGAAATGGGCAAACATCACGAGCGACTTGTCCGCTGGTAAATTCGACATTGCCATGGGTGGCGTTAGCCTGACTCTTGCAAGAGCTAAGACTGCCTTCTTCTCAACGGCGATCCGAAGAGTCGGCAAGACAGCCTGCATCCGTTGCGCCGATGCAGCCAAGTACACCGACCTCGCATCGCTCGATCAGGCCGGCGTCAAGGTTGCCGTCAACCCTGGCGGAACCAATGAGGCGTTTGACAGGGCGAATCTCAAGTCTGCAACAATTGTCATGGTGGAGGATAATAATGCTGTGTACCAGGCTGTGCTAGACGGCACTGCTGATGCCATGATTTCTGACCTCATTGAGGTTGAGTTGCAGGTCAAGCTGCACGAGGGCGAGCTTTGCATTGCCAACCCTGATGCACCGTTCAACTTCGAGGAACTTGGCTATGCGGTTCCAAGGGATATTGTATGGAAGCATTTCGTCGATGCTTGGGTCCATGTGCAGCTAGGGAGCGGTTCTTGGAACGGCACACTCGAGAAATGGTTGAACTACAAGTGGCCCAGCGTTTAGATGCCCTAGGCTCCATGCCAAAAATAGTAGTTATTAGTACCTAATGCCATGAATGATAATAAAATCCTGTTTTATGAATTGAGGATTGTATTGACGCCATATTTGTAATGATTGAGAATATGTCATCGTGACCTAAAGCTTTGACGAGGGCGTTTGACTTGTTAGTTGCAATTTTGCAAGCTTCACCGCATGTGCTGCCATTCCCCTACGTTCACGTTAGCAGAGCGACGTCATCACACGCTGGATCTTCATATCTACTCACCAAGATGCCTGATATCCAGCCCCAGATGCTCCGTAATTATGTATGACCAGCCCCTCGTCTCTCTTCTCGGCCTCGATTCTCGGCCCACCTTTACGATTCGGTCTCAGTCCGACGCCGTGCTTGATGATCTTCAAGTCTTCGGGCTTGCCCAGCTCTGGGGCCAACGCGCAACAACGTTGGAGGATAGTCTTTGTCAGCTCGGGATCAACCTCCTTGTCCCAATTGCCGTCTTGACGACATCCGCCGAGAACAATACCGCCTGCTAGAGGCCTCTGGAAAATGTAGGTGGTGTCGTTGTCTACCCTTCGAGGGGAACGGAAGTACATCCTCTTGAGAGGCTGAATCGGCTGCTCGACCAAGATGGTTTGTCCTCGAGTCGGATACATGGACTTATCCTCCACTCCACCAAGAGAGTAGGATCCTAAGCCGGTGCAGTTGAAGATAGTGGTGACATCTGAAGAGATGCGAGCCTCGTTGATGTGGCCAATTTTCTGACGGACCAGAACAACGTTGCTCTGCCTGCATTGTTCAAGAAGCCTGGTCCAGTCAGGATTTCTGCGCATTATCAGATGTGAGTGAGAGGATGTGAGACTTACCACTGCAAGTAGATTTGAGTGTTGATCACAAACGTGTTAGGTACATCTAGTCCAAACACAGCCTTGTCAGGCAACTCCTCCGTACGAAGTGGCACAGTACCCCCGACCAAGTCATCGTACCACAGCTTGCCAGTTCCTACGCTCAGAATTCCTGCATCCTCGATCTTTTGGTCGAAAATCATTCGCAGCGGCGAACTCTTGACCCCCGCTTCCGGTGCGCTCTTCGCGATCTTCTTAAACCGCTCAAAAGCGACACGGTCGAAAGATTCGAGAAGGCCGTTATCGTTGGCCGAGGAGCACCAATTACCTCCGGCCCATGGCGAGCAGTAGTCGATGTTGTAGTCGCCGGGGAAGTACTCTGCCAGGATCGATATCTTTGCGGATGGGAATTCGGCTCTAAGCGTCAGTGCGGTGGTGAGACCGATGACGCCGGCACCGAGAACAACGAAGTGTTGCGCGTGAGTCGTCATATTGTCGTGTCTCGGACTCTGTGAGGTTGACGGGTGTTTGGTAAGGGTGATGTGAGGTTGACACCGCCGGGCCTGTTCGAGATCCAGTTGGCAGTGGTGTGTTGGGGTAGCTCCGGTCCGGGCCGGTGGTGTTTACGGCTGATTGATGATAAATGTCCGAAGTCGGCCTGAGTCACGGCGCAAAGGGGCTGGGCCGGTTGTGGAATATGTCTTGGCCATCCCAGTCGTAAGCTTGGCTACAGCGACAACGTCAAAGTGCAACAGTCCATCCTTGGGGGTTTCCAACAATAAATCGACGCAAGTAATATTGCACAACTAGGAAAGTTCATTTCTCAGGCTCAACCTCCTAAGATCAGTTGCGTCGTACGCGTAGAGTGGATCACATGGCTAATGTTTCACATATCCTTGGAACATCGGTAAAGGCTGCTCCGTCAAGATGCAAGGATTCGAATTTGTATTACTGAGCACTTGATGTTTAAATCAGATTTCATTCTCTCAGATCCTAAGTGCAATTTGGTTGTTTGAAAACGCCGTGCGCAAAAGTCCTGCCGCCCCTTAGAACCATGTTTTGATCATCAATAGACAGTGGCGATCACATCTTTTTCCCAGCCTTGTCTTCTCCTAATGGATTACTCTCCTGCATCCCCTCGAGGCTCACTCCTTTCTTCTGTTGCGAAGCCATCGACGGCATTGTGTTCTGGTCTCCACTGTGTCTCTGAAGATCAATCAGCCAAAGGACATTGATGCCAATCAGAACTGGACCCCTACTCTCTCTTCCTCTACCTCTGCGTCGTGTATGAAGTCATGGCCGGCTTCCACGGCGTCGTCCGACAGACCGTGTTCCTTCAGCCCGTGATCTTGTCTGTTTGACATCTCGCAGTGGTTTTTATTGATGTGATGAGATCTCTTGATCAGAAGTTCAGTTGAATTGCGATTCTTCAATGCGATTCTTTCAATTAGAAGTCCTAGGCATTATCTGCTTTACAAAACACGCGGGTCTCCCCTCGTTTTATAAACTTCAGCGGAGTCAAGATGGCCGAACGTCATGAGGTTGTCGAAGTGAGGGGCCTATGGTACCTCGTGCGAAGCATGTACACCACCATCAGTCAGGGCACGGTGAGCAACCCCGCATTCATCACGATAATTCATCCACTCTTAGTCAAGCTCACAAGGATGACAGACCATCACAGCTTCCATCTACAGACGTGCAATCGCGGGGTCAGGCTCACCATGATGACGGTCTATGCCTGGCTGGACTGGTCCACCAGCCAATCGTAAAGACATGCACCTAAGATTGGTTGAAGCTAAAGGCAGTTGCGGAGATGAGGAAGGGTGAGAAAGCAACTGAACGATCGGATCTGTCGGTAGTGATCTCTAATGCCATGAACAGTAATGCAATGGCTTGCCTATTTTACATGCCACTAGATGCGATGTATGTAATCATTTGGCATATACCATCGTTACATGAATTGGGTGTATAATAATAAGTAACTCGGGCAGATACAGGCAACAGGCTATGGTCATTGTGAAGGTGGTGTTGCGAAAACAGTAAAGATGAACCAATTCTCTCCGGTCGACAACTTTTCCATGTTTGGTAATTCTGCTCGATTCATATTATAAGGTAAGTCTGGTAGTTACTTTACCTAAGGTATGCGAAAAGTTGCACGATACTGCACAAGGCCAACAGTGCTTATTCTCGAATGTTTTGTTTTACGTCGGCTTTTCTTGAATTTTCTCTTACACAAGTACGTCGTTAGCTGAATCTAGAGGCACTTCAGCCGGATGTCATATATCATGTGCTTTCGCATCTACTGATCTGAATCCCCACAGCCAGGACTAACAAGGCATTTGGGTTGTCTCACAGGACTTGAGCTTGTCTCATTACATAACTTTGTTTAACTATATCGCTCCTTCATGACTATCATATTACTTTAATTCATTGACACATTAAACTGACAGTTAGAATCAACTGCATCATTAGAATCATTGCCCAGCTTTGGGAAGACAAGCTGACGGCGCCGCTGGTGGACACACTCTTACTCGCGCGTGCAGCCTCATCCTTCGACCGATCCGGGTCATCGCCTATCGGCTGAGTGACCCAGTCCTTGGGAATTTGCGTAATAAAGTCGTACCAATAGTCACCCATCGTACGGTAACCCTCATCCGTTGGATGAATGCAATCGTCTCTCAGAATGCCGGTACCCAAAGCCGCAAAGTCCACAGCCAAGACGTGATGGCTGGCGTTTCTGCGCTGCTCGACGATGCCCGGGATAAGTTTCTGGTACGCGACCGTTGCGGCTTCCTGTTCGGCGCTGCATGTGTCGACGATCACGGCAACAAGGATGGTGGCATCGGGGCACGCGGTGATCATTTGGTCGATGAGGGAGCCCAGTCGCTCGGCGGCGGCCGCCGGGTCATTGCCTTCGGTGGAGACTGCCGAGTTTGGGTTCATGTCGTTGGTGCCGGCGTGGAGGAGAATTATGTTGGGCCTTTGTACCAGGGATGGGCCTACGTTGTCGGCGATGTACTTGATCGTTTTCCCAGACCAAGCAGCCTACAACTTGTCAGAATTGGAAATGTGGAAATAGGACCTGTTTTGTTGACTAACATAGTATCCATCGCTCATATTGCCACCGTAGACTGTACCGGCGAATACAACTTCGTTGGCTGTAATGGTTGTCAGGTAGGGGGCTTTCTTGTTTGCCTGATCGCGGTGGAGTCCATGATTGAACTTCTCATGCGCGGTGAGTGAACATACCAGAAAGGTCCTCATCAAGTTTGAGCCTGTAGCCATTTCCATCGCTGCTCAGATATCCCACAGTGATGGAATCACCCACAGGAAGTATTCTCAGCTTGACACCATCTTTGATAACCTGTCCCGCTGGTGTTGCCTTATACTCAAGGGAGTCGGCGGCGAGCGTCAGCGGGGTAATTAGGACGATGATGCTGGCGATTGAAAACCTCATCTTGAGGGCCGGGGGCTGGTTAAACGAGACGACACCATCGCGAAAGCCCTCTCAAGAGACTAGGCAGTAGTGTGCGGGTATCAGCCACTTCAAATAGTCCGACGTAGACCAAGGCAATGGTCAATCGTCAGCAACTGACCCGTAGACCGACGAGGGCGATGAACGCATCCCTCGGGCACAGCTAGCCGCGATCCACCACATCCAACCCAAATTTAAAGGGTCAATGCCAGGCACCATCTTCGCTAAGCACTGTAAGCAGCGGGCTGGGCTACTTGGTGCCGTCGCATTGAGGGCGAAGTGACCGAAGGGCCCCGTTTCTCGACTCCACAGGGAATGGGACCATGCCGTGTGGTCCGGCGGTTTTCTCGTCGGTCGAGAAAGGGCATTCTCCTCTTTGGCACCCTGCGCTGCACACCACCGGCCATGTTCGCGAGTCACGAGTGAAGTCTCAAAGGAACCAACGTGATCAAAGAGCGTTGAAGCCGTTGGAGGGGTTTTCGAAATGGCCCGTCAATCTCACCTTGCAGGGCCTTTGCTACGGTGTCAATGGCTGCAACTGGCCGCGTGGTGGGCTGCCGGCAGTTCGCCAAATTGGTCTAGCTCGGCTCTCTAAGGTGCCTAGGTGGCACGGGAGGCGCTGCAAAACCTCGTCATCTGGCTTCCGGCGCGAGACGACGGCGTCGCCGGGTTAGCCGGGCGCAAAGAATGGGGGGAATGTTCAAAGACGACGGAGCCTCGGACACGAGAAGGCGGAGGAAACATCAAATGGGAATGGAATCCCCTTCTAGTCTTACTTGCCTGCCTGCTGCCCCCAGCAAGGCTTTTGCAAAAGTATGCCCGCTTACCAGGCCCCTTTTGCCTTTGTGCATGAGTTCTTCGGGCCGCTCCCTTGCGCCAGCACGAACGCCATTTCTGTGCGTTCAACTTGTCAGATGGCAGCGCATGAACCCCTTGACATGAGATGCCAATGCGGCGGAGGATTTTGCTACAGGATGGTCCCAGTTGTTTGAGTCACCCCAGTGCCCCCTTTTCTTTATCGATGAATTTTCCACACCAACGAATTTTTTCTTTCTATTTTTCGACACGGGAAACACCACCAACAGGCACAACCATGCGTCCAAAATACGAAGCCGAGGGAGACGTGGATTCCAAGCAGCAACCGAGTGTTAGTGTACTGGAGGCTCCGCGTGATGACAATATCTTAGATATGCTGCGCGAGACTCGCGCTTGACAGCACTCTTAGACCAAGACCGATGACTTCATGACTGGACGCCGTTGCTCCAAGTTCCAACCAACTTGAAAGCTTAGCCATCCCCAACGCTGCTGCTGATCCCCCATGACAAGTGGGTATCATCCACCGCCATGTGCTCTGACGTCGCTAAGACTCTCTTCATTACTACATCGGCATTCTCGGCGCGTCCACTGTTTACAACGTCAGTTCGCTGTCACGTCAAGTCCGCCCCGCGCCATGTCCGTGCTGGCATCGGCTTCGTGTAGTGGGTTGAACTAACTGCACGTTATCTCTGCCTTTCTTTCTCTTCTTTGTCTTTCTGATAGCTATCATCTCATTCTACATCATTTGACAAAATATGGTAGGGGATGTCAAGAGTAAGAGCGTCCATGGCTGTCAGCCATTTCAACCAGGCTCTGCCAGTGCAGTCAATCTTGAGATCTAGTTGCATCGGTCGGTGAGTTAGTCACGACAATCTTACCTCTTTGAAGCACACGAAGATAAGGCATTATGGCAAGAGAGCAAACAGAGAATTTACACACAACGAAACATCTATTCGAAACAGAAAACCATCCATTTTTTTACATTCTACTTTCCAGAAAAAACGTGATGCCACACCAAACAGCTGCCGAGTCCCGAGGTATCGTGTCTCACCAAACGCATTCCTAACACATTCCGCTAGTTGGAGTTATCGCTGACGTCGCCATCGTATCCCCCATCTGTCTCTTGGTTGCATGCGTCAATAATTTCCCTCTCGGCCTCTTGAGACTGCGTCGACATGCCGCACAGGATAGCAGCCACGCGGTACTCACACAGTTCGTCATCACTGCACTCTCCAACAGCGCAACAGGTCCAATCACTGGTAAAATATTTCTCCTTAGGGGGAGACTCTGTTGATGACACAGTGGAAGGCTCAGCGGGAAAGGTCCGTGGACGGTTGTTGAACTGAGGGAAGTTACCTGGACGGTCGCTGAGGGTATGATTCTGGGCATGGCCAGCGTTACAACATTCCTTGCATTGGATGAGGAAGCCGGCGCGCTGCGAAGTCTGACGCGAGACAGAGTGGGAAAGGCATAGCTGCAATGTGTTAGCGCTTGCCACATCGGGGCACTCATCTGGGTAGATCGTCATGAGAGGAAGGCCAAGCAGAGTGCCGTTTGTGCGATATCCCATCTCCTTTGCCTTTTCGCAGAGGTAGTAAAGAGGCTCTGGCGTGGGCGTGAGGCGCAGGAGCGGAACGCGGATGCCGTTCTTCTCAGAGAGGCAATTCTTTGTGCAACACACAATCAAGATCTCGGTTTCTTGACACATTTCGTTGAAGGAGGATGAGTTTTGGCGGCAGGGTTGCGAGTGGATCGGATTATGACGATTGTCCTAAAAGTATGTCGAGCGCGCTTGTTGTGGATGTAGACAATGGTATCTGGGAGATGTTGAGAACTTGAGACTTGGACACGAAGAAGGTCGAAGTACCTGCGGGATATATACGCGATGTCAAGCCGAGTTGAGCGCTTTGATCGAGTCTAGTACCAGTGGAACAAGATGGTATAGTACAAACCTGAACACCGAGACAAACAAACCTTGAGGCGACTGAAGCCGACTCGATGCAGTCAGAGAGTTGGTGACAATGCAAGAGAACCTGCCTACAATGCTCAAGGTTCAATGTGTCCTGAAAGCACAATGACGACACTTGTGACTGGCCATAGACCCGAACAAAGAGCAATACTCAAGAGAAACACAACGGGATTGTATTAGGCACTAGAGAATCAAACAGGCTCAATCAAGATGTGCTTGCATTTGAAGACAAGGCTGTACCCTTCCCGAAAGAAGGTGGACGAGAATATCAAGTTAGGCTAAAGCAGTTGTTCAAGTATCGTGTCACAGCGTATACAGCCAGCCTTCCATGCCCTCATTCCTGCGGTGCCCTGCTTTTGCTGCTTTGTTGCAACGCCACAAGTAGATATCCATGATGATGATCATTGTAATGCTAACCATAGATATCGCGAAAGTTGTCCAGATGCCGGTCTAGAATTCGAAGTAGGTTGTCAGAGACCAATACGTCAAAGCAGATTCTGGCAATGCATCAACTTACAGTGTAGTGAGGACTTTCCTTTGACATGAAAGCTGTGCTTGCAATAATGCCACCGAGGCCACCTCCAATGAGACATGTTGCGCTTGAGACAGCGCGTTTTGAGTGCGAAGTAATATTGTTTGCTTGGAAGGTAAGCACGCCCGGGACGCAAAACTGAAGAAACCCAATTCCTATAGTAAGAAGGAGTAAAGTTAGTCATGGTACACAATCGCCTCAGGCTCATGCAAAGGAAACATACCAAGGAATGCTCCAAAGTAACGGGCGCCATTAGCTTTACCGTATACGGTGATCAACATGCCAACGGCTGTCAAAGCTTGATGGACTGCGATGATGGGCCCTCGAATCTTGTACTTGTCTCCAAGATAGCCGGAGATGTAGGCTACAATCGCTGCTAGGACATAGGGAGGCGCGGAAAGAAGTTGCGCCTGGGTGCTGCTGAAGCCCATGCCATTACGAAGAATGATGGGGAGAAAGTAAGAGTAGGCGTATCCGGGAAGCGTCGAGGCCATAAGGTTGAACGCCCAAAAGTACAGTCTCCAGTCCTTGAGGTGATGCAAAATCTTGGCCAGATTGATGTGGTCCTCCTCAGCGTCGCCACGATCTTGGTTAATACGGGCAATGATGAACTCTTGCTCCGCTGGCTTCAGGAACTTGCCGGCCTGTGTCGGAAAGTCGATGATGATGAACCAGCCCAGAGCACACACCACCACGGTGATTGCGCCTTCAATGATGAAGATCCCTGTTGTATCTCATTAGTACTACATCACTGCTTTCAATAGGCTCGCCAAGCTCTCAACTTACAGCTCCAGCCGTTCAGTCCACTCTTTCCACGGAGAAGAGTCAGGACATATGCAAAGATTGCAGAAAACCCGCTAGCAAGGACAGAGAGGATCCAGAAACCGGAAAGCCTTTTGCCCACTTCAAAGCGCGTATACCAGCAAGTAATCAGATAGGTGCAACCTGTTAAACTCTCAATGTTGGATTCCGTTCCCATAACTGAGGCTTGTTGTCCAAACCTGACGGGAGGTGACCGTACCTGGTAGAAAACCTGCTTCCAATATTCCCAAAAGAGCTCGGCAGACTGCCATAGCACCCCAGCTTTTGGTAAAGCCCATACCAATCAGGACCGCACCAAAGCCTACACCGAGGAACGAAAGCCAGTTTGCAGGTCCTGCTTTCGGGAGTACGAGATTCTACGAACGCGGTTAGCTCAAGTTGCCACCAGAATCAAAGGAAGCATCAAGACCGTACACTGGGTATTTCGAAAAGACTGGTGAACTCGTCAGCAAACTCTGGTCACCGCTAGATCACATTGTGGAGACGGACATATATGCAACAAAGAATACCATGACAATGACAGTATATCTGTTTCCCACAGCCAGCCCCAGATCTTCCTGCATGCCCGCAACCAAGGCAAGGCCGAGATTCGTTCGATCGATGAGGGAAATCGAGTACATTATGCCTAGAATCGGAAGCAGACGAATATCGATACGACGGCTGAGTTCACAGTTAGAATTTCTACTTGCGTATGATGGGCTTGTCAGGTTGACTTACATGACTTTCTTCTGCTCGGCCTCAGAGAGTCCACAGATCTCGCCGACATCTCGTCCCTTCACATCCTCTACGTGAGTTGAATCATGAGTCTTTTCGTCAATGGTACGAGTGCCGAACTCTTCATCACCTTGGTGAAGGTCGCCAGAAGCTCTTCGTTGCTCCATTCTGATTGATATTTTCTTGCTGAGTTGAGGTTGTAAGCAGATGAAGCAAGACACCCAAGTTCTGCCACAGCTCAAATCCGAGATCCATTGTACAAGACATGCTGATCATTCTCTTAAGTATTCGCAGGGGTCTTCACCAGGAGTCATCGCCAAGACAGACATATCCATCAGAATGCGATGGTGACCTGTTTCCATCAACCACCATGGGCCTAATCCAGGCCGAAGCAAGCCTCAGAGCAAGCCTCCATTCCGCTCGACACCTAGCAGCTCCGAGAGATAGGTTGGATGCGGGGTAATCCGGGGTAGTGCGGGGGACGTGGTCTCTTCCTGCACAACTAGCACCAAATCCGGACTCCCAGAACGTGCCTTGCGAGATGCAAAGTCTCATAAGCAGTCTGATGATTCGCTGAACACCAATCATGAGAGTGGAGGGGGAGTGACGCCACTGAGTCAGGGCGCTAGAGTCAGAGTCGCAGACTCTCGGACCATGTGTCAGTAGCTCAACCTCCGCTCATCAACCGCACCTTAGCAACCGCTAGCTCAACGCCAGCCAAGAGTTGGTTATCCCTTTACTCGGGAGAAGAGACCCGGCATTCTGGATCGCGAATGATGATGGCTTCAATGCAGAAATCTAGCCCTTGGGCTGGCATGATTACGTGGTTCGTATGGGGTGCTGCATCGCAACCATTTGCTCTCGCAGCTGAGCACCACACCAACACTTTCCGGAAGTGCATGGGAGACTTGGGTGATTCCGTCTTCAATGGAAAACTGGGGAGCTCGCTTGGCATAGGTGGTAAGATCCCCGCAATGTTACCCAGCTCCACAAGGCAACTCGCTCGCACTTCCCCTCTCATGCACTTGAGTTGATGAAATCTACGGGGCAACGAGTGTGGAAGGTGGTTTATAAAGACAGTATGATGATGGCTGTTTGTCTTGAGAAAAGTCGAAATGAGAACATTCCCCCAGTTGCTATCCGCTCTTGACCATTAGTGTTTCTATTTATCATGACAGTCGGGCTTTTGTTGATGACATGGATCTTAGGTCAAAGGGTTCTCGGCCTGCCTTCTAAAGGCTGCGTTGATCCTCAACCACTGACCTGCAACAAACTCGAGATACCGCCAATTGATGGCTTTGATGTCATAGTTGCCGAGAGTAACGAGGTCCGCGACTATGTCCTACCTACTGACCCAACGTCGAAATTCGACTTTTGCAACTTTACTCTAACACTCAATCACCATGGCGCAGACGACGTTGTGTTTGTGAGCATTTGGCTACCCCCTGAAGATACCTGGAACGGCCGGTTTCTCGCCACTGGTGGTGGCGGTCTTGCTGCGGGTACCTTTGCCTCAGCTCTCGCAGGGCCTGTCTCCGAGGGATTTGCTGCTGGCTCGACGGATGCCGGGCTAACGCTGAATCACACGATTGACGCGAACTCTGGTCAATGGGCTCTCAGAGCCAACGGCAGTATCAACGAGCCATTGATCGAAAACTTTGCCACGCGGTCCATCCATGAGATGGCACTTATCGGCAAAGAGGCAGTCAGGGCATTCTACGGTACCAAACCCCACCATTCTTACTACAGCGGCTGCTCCCAGGGTGGGCGACAGGGCTACTTCGCTGCTCAATACGATCCGTATGACTTCGATGGTGTCTTGGCCAATGCCCCAGCCATCAACACCCCTCAGTTATCCCCTGCAGACTTTTGGCCGTCGGTGGTCATGGGAAACATTGCCGCACCACCACAGTGCGTCTTCTTGGAGTACCAAAAGGCAATCATTGCGGAGTGCGATCCACAGGATGGCGCAAAGGATGGCCTCATCTCAGCGCCCGAGAAGTGTCAGTTTGATACCAGCCAACTCATTGGGCAAAGTATCAACTGCAGTGATACCGGTGGACCTGTCGTGATAACGGAGGACTTTGCCGAAGTCATTGCAAAAACACTTGAAGGCTCAAGAACTACAACAGGCAACTTCTTGTGGTATGGAAACCCACCAGGCGCGCCCTTCACCGGCCTCGCCAATACGAAGACGGTTGACGGTGTCACCGTGCCGGTGCCATTCGCCGCGGCCGAAGCATGGATGCGATATTTCGTAGCACAGGATCCAGATCTTGATACCGCATCTCTCACGTTTGCAGAGTTTGAGGATATCTTCAACGAGTCCGTGGCAAAGTACACGAAGCCTTTTGGATCCGATGATTTCGATCTCAAGGAGTTCAAGAAAGCGGGAGGGAAGCTGTTGACTTGGCACGGCATGGGTGATCCGCTCATCACCCATCTCGGGACGACACTATTCTGGGACAGACTTCGAGAGCGGGTGGGTGGCGTGGAATCTCTGGGGAGCTTCTATCGGTTGTTCTTGGCGCCGGGGGCAGGACATTGCGGTGGTGGGTACGGCCCCGTCCCTGTTGAGCCACTCTCTGTTCTCATCGACTGGGTCGAAACTGGCAAGGCCCCAGATACTTTACTTGCTGTGACGACGCAGGATGGTATCAACACGACTCGGAACCTCTGTCCTTACCCCCAGTCTATCAAGTACAAAGGAACTGGGGACGTGAAAGATGCCACGAGCTTCAAGTGCGAGTGAACGGTGGGGACTCATGGTGAGCGAGGGGCGGCAAATCTCGACCATGGTAACAGTTCCCGCACATATATAGTAGCATGTTGTTATGTAATTTACATAGGCTAATGGGAACGCTGAAATCTACTTATGTGCCTGAAGGATTTGAGAGTAAAAAGTCACCTGCTGGCCAGTTTTGTACTGTTGTCAGGCTCAGCATGTCCATGTCAGAGTTCCTCCTACTCCGCGGAGAGCTTCCAGTCTCCAGCTCTTTGACCCTTCCACTTTGCCGTAGCCTGCTCTCTCGAGCATCTTTCCAAGTTAAAAGTCTCGGCACTTCTTGATATGCTGGGATGTCGGCATACATCTCCGGGAAGTGGTTGAAGAAGTCTGACGACATGGTCCAGGAGTTGATATCACGGATCCTGTCCTCGAACTCTGGGGCCACACAGTATCGTCTGGTCTCAATGTTTCGCCGATAGCAATCACGGAACTCAAAAGGCCACATGATTCGGAAGCTGCTTGCGAATACCTCCCAGAATAGGTTCGAACAGTACTGATGTTGTGAAAACACAAAGCGCTCTCGAACGCCTGGCCTATTTTAGGAAGCGGGGGAAAGGTAAGTAACTTTTAATCGATGAGAATCCAACTATCGACAGAAACAGGACTTACCAGACGAAGAAGTCTATTGCAGAAGAGTGAGGTAGTGATTGAGATGGTCTATAGATATTTGTCAAAGCAATCCCACAAAGAACATCGATGGAATCGACCTGCTTACCTGCTGAGGTACCATGCTGGTAACTTGGCGCATTGTTCGACTGTGGGCTCGGCTTGGTATCGGAGGAGGCGGTGCATAAGTCTCAGGATAGCCAGCCGCTCGGTATCCGGGCAGTTTCTGAATTGGAGCGTATCGGTCTGACGGAGTCTTCTCCACAGGGGCGGTAGTTTCCCTGATCTTTCGACGGCATCCCATCCTTCTAAGATGACGCGGACTGGAATGTCATCGCTCATCTCGTCCTCCATATTCAGAATACTCCTGGATAGCATTTCGCTGGCGCCAAGTGCTTCGTTTGCGGATCTCCATAAACTTGTTGTCGATGAACCTGGACTTTGAGGATCTTGTCTTGATCCTAAACACTCACAGGCACTATCTGGCTCCGGCACGATCACACCATCGCCTTGATGTCGAGGCGGAGGGGAGTCGGGTAGACATTCCAGATTAGGGTTCCCTGCCAGGGCGAGGCTAGGTGGAGCGGGAACTCTGTTGGCCAGTTCCGTCTCTGTCGCAAGAGTATGACCGGCTACGTCAGATACTGGGAGTCCCCAAGTTATGGCAGAGATGCCAGGGGTGAAGACGTCTAAGGGCATATCTTCGACCTCAATGTCAAAAGCGTTTGAACTCTCATGAGCGCCCGACCACGGCTGACAATTAGAAGCCGTAGCCTCAGGGTGTGATGCTCGGTCCTGCAAAGTATCGGCACGTTCGCCTTCTCGGTGGACTTGAATCGTTGTCTCAAGCGAGGAGAGTGTTTTCGACAGGGTGTCTCTTTGTCTCGTCATGTCAGACAGCTGGTTCATCAAGCTGGCGATCTTTGCGCTCTGCTCTTGCTCGCTCATAGCCTGGATAGTCGCTTCTAGGTAAGCAATGCGATTTTTGTTCCGTTCCCGGGCAGCTCGCTGTGCACGTCGGTCCAACTCCCTCTTCTTCGCGCGACGAGACGCGGCGTCGTCGGCCGCAGGGATGGGTGTCGCCGAGCTTATCTGTTGCGTTGCCATGGCTTCTTGCTACCGTGGCGGCTGGCGATGCTATGTGTTCACGATGCGTCTGTTGCAATATTGCAATGGTTACAATGGGACGAAGGTGGTTGGACGATGCAGAAGCAGCCTTGGACTTAATTTGGGGGCCATCCGGATTGCGGGGAACCGGGCTTACGGGGCCACCCTGAATCCGGGGGAGCAGCAGCAGAATGCGGGGGACCCCGGCAAGCATGTAGTCTTTGTTAGTCATCACACGCATTGCAAGAGTTGTTTTGAGCACGAGGAGGGCTATCAACAAGCTAGTGTTGTGGAATGGGCCGATCTGTATCTACGAGATGACCTTTCTCTTGGCGCAGGGCTTGAACCCAACATCAGTCGACACTAGCGTCAATGGTGTCAATCAAATGGGTTAGAGCATTTGAACAGAAAAGCAGAGGCTGGAAACACTCTGCAGATTTATGTTCCTTGGTTTAGACCAGGGTCAGGAACAGCGGCGTCAACGGCAACACCATGATTCGCAAGAGACTCTTGAGGAAAAAGTCGGAGCCCGGAGGGTTTTTCGTCGACACCAAAAAGCACCTTACGTTACGTGTCGGATTATGCCAGAGCTTTTCTTACAGGGCATACCCCAAATGGCCTTCCGTGGATGATGGTGAGATTTTTGCCTCTGCAGCTCAAGGCGGAAGGTGTCCTAGGTATGCCCATGAACCCAATCTCAAGGATGCTTGCGTGTAATTTGACTTCAGATGTTCGGACGTCTGTGAGCCTGTCAGTGTCACTGCAGAGGTGAAACCAAAATTCAAGCATGTGGTGTTCGCCCGCATTTATTTTAAGCTTCAGGGCCGCGAGTGATCGCGCAGATAAGAACTCTATTGTGATGCATCTACAATCTTGATTAGCAGTTGTTCCTTTCTCTTCATTCAGAGCTTCGTCATTCCCCCAACATTAGAGTAGTCCTTCACAGGGGAAGAGGCAACATCTGTGAGTGCCTAACAAACAAAGGAATTCCGTAAAATAGGCGTTTTCATCCTCCTCCTCGGGTAATATCCTGGATAACGAGAACGAGCCTCCTAATGCCAGAGCGGATCCTCGTGGAGGCAACAGATGGGGAATTGGAGTTTCGCACCGGGTTTCATCCACACCGGCATCGCAGGCCCGATGGAGTGTTAGCTGTGGCAGGACTAGGGCGTTGCAAGTGTTGACACTGGCGACAGATGCACGGTCATCGCTGTATTGAGCTACCTAGAAAACAAAGCCGCCCTTTTCTGTCTATCCAGACTCTCTTAGTCTGAGGGTTATTCTGTTCGAAAAGTTTGATGCTGTAATTCTTGCGAGTAAGAGTTTCCCGACAACGTCGTGTTTTCTTGTTCTCATAACGATGGATTGCTTTACGTATGTATTGAGCGGCGAGTTACACACACCTGGCCATAACTCGAGGCTGACAGATGGCACTGGAAAACGGTCGGCTTGATCCAAATTTGACTTGTGGAATCGGAAAAGGGGCATGACGAGGGTCCGCAGCCAGCTACTCACATGTCCTCACATAGGACATCTGCCGAGGACTGGAACATGTAAGTCGCAGCATCCAACCTTTTTCTAACTTCTGGCCAGAAAAGATCCAGGAGCCATTTCTCAATTGTCATCCAAGCTAGGCCACTAGCCTTAGATGTCTTCCTCTACTTACTGCTGTCTAATGCATTCAGAATACGGTTGGCAGAGTTTCAAGTTTCGGGCAAATATGCTACAGTGCTGTAAATTGGGTACAACGCAGAAACATACTTTGAGACAATCGAACCGCCCAAAGTTGCCTTTTTTCCCTTAGCTCTCATCTTCTTGAAGAGAAACCGGAGCTTCTAAGTGAAGTCATAGTTTCTGAGGTACCAAAGAGATAGGGCATACATATCGAATCGATGACATCGAAGCACCAAAATATTATGCCAAACGGTGAAGGTTTCTTGGTTATTCGCTGATGGCTATTTTGGATGCATGGTGAGTTTTTCATCCAACTAGTACTGAGTCTGAGTTGTAAGTCAAACCCCCCACTTCCCGGCACCCCCCTGTTTCTGGCACCCACAAAAACGCGAAAATCCACCACAACGCAATGCCCACCCCCAACCTCCTTTTATCACAACATTTTCAATTCGAGTCCAAATGGGCTCATTTTTTGCACATACCTTCTTCTATATCTAATGCCTCAATATACCGAAGATCAGCTTCGTCAGGCTCTCGAGGACATCTCAAACGGCAAGAGTCAAAAGAGAGCCTCATTGGAGTATGGGATACCACGATCAACCCTCCAACTACGTCTCCAAGGTGGTCAGACTAGGAAAGTGGCTTTTGCTGACTGGCAGAGGCTGTCTCCTGACCAGGAGAGGCTGGCACAATGGGTTCGCATTCAGGCTTCGCTGGGCCTCGCACCAACGCACCAACAGGTGAAGGAATTCGCAGAGCGAGTTCTGGCTGCTGCTGGGGATACCAAACCATTAGGAAAAGGCTGGATCTATGCCTTCGTGAGAAGGAACCCTATCATTAAGGTTCAGAGAAGTCGTTCCATCGATTCTAGACGCGTTAATGGGGCATCTACTGAGGTCATTAGGAACTGGTTTAAGTTCCTTGCTATCCCTGAGATCAAGGACATCAAACCAGCCAACAGATATAATATGGATGAGACTGGCATCCTCGAGGGTCAGGAGCTAATGGGTTAGTGCTGGGCATGGCTGAGACGACGTCTGTTCGCAAGAAACAACCTGGGTCGAGGGCATGGGTCTCTATCATTGAGTGTATCTCAGCCTTGGGTAGGCACTTCGTCCTCTTATCATTTTCAAGGAAGACGGTCCAACAACAGTGGTTTCCATTACATCTGGTTCCATACGATGGGTGGAGTTTACAGCAACAGATAATGGCTGGACTACAGACTTAACTGCCATTGAATGGTTAGAGAAGGTGTTTATCCCACAGACTATGCCTGCTGAGGGCGAGGCTCGACTGTTGATTGTGGATGGGCATGGGAGTCATACGACGACAGACTTCATGTGGAATTGCTATATTAACAATATCCATTTACTGTTCTTACCACCACCCCTCCACTCCTCCAACTTGACCCAGTCTGTTAAGTCAGCCTATCGGAAGGAGCTGGTTACTTGTCTCAATGGAACGACTCTACCATTATAGGTAAAAGGAACTTCCTGGACTGTTACCAGAAGGCTCGACTTGCTGGTCTATCAGTCTCGAACATCAGAAGTGGTTGGAAGTGGACTGGTCTACACCCTGTAGCGATGGTTAAGCCCCTGATGAACCCTATGGTATTACCTGATTTTCTAAGCCCACCACACCCAAACCAACCAGTCGGGGCAAAAGCGATGCCATAATGGTCAACAAACTACCCCTGTTGAGCCATGGGATTCTGCTTCCTCTGCAGTGGTCTGGTCGACACCCAGGAAGCTGGCAGAGCTCAGCGGTCAACTGCACTTATACACCCAACTCGACAATGATACCAGCACTCAACGGCTGCTGTTCAGGAAGGTGAAAAAAGGCTTCACAGAGCAGGCCTGGCAACTGGCAGTTGCCCAGCAGCAGCTGGCTCACCTGAGGGCTCAAGTTACCAACGCTGCAGTTAGGAAGAGGAAGACTGTTCAGATCGATCCCAACACGAAGTTTGCGAACATCAGGGATATCCATCGGGCTCAAATCGAAGCGGGTGAAAAGGAGGTTATTACGGCTGAATCCAGCGACTCTGAATGCCCTAGTGAGGCTGGCAGTTGTATTGTAGTGGGTGTGGTTGAGGATCAATAGTTAATAGTAATGAGGAGGTTGGGTTGTGATCCCATCGTTTTTGTGGGTGCCAGAAACAGGGGGGTGCCAGGAAGTGGGGGGTTTGACTTATTGTGACTCGAACTTCCACGTTGTTATGGAGAATCGTTAGTTGTCGCTGCTGTATGCATATTTTGCGGCAGGCCACCAGATGCACAAGCGAGCCCGGCCGAAAAGTAGAAAGCTGTTGGACCCACGAGAGTGGAAACTAATCATGCGATAGATCCGGGGTCTAGTTGCAGTTATGGTTGGAATCTCTCATCTGTGCACTTCTTGGCGCCTGATGTTGGGTGTCTCTTGGCTGTTGGTCGTAATGATAATTGATAAACGGCTCTTACTGCGCATCCGATGTCCCCATCAACACCCCACTGGTAATACTTGCCGTTGTAGCGATAATTGTATTTGCGTAAGGAATCACGAAATCTTCAACGAACAGTGACAGCGGGGGCTGTGATTTTTTGTCATCAATCCCATCGTGGCTGTGGCAACTCTCGACAGCGTGCGTCTGAAGATCAGCAAGGATTATGGCTACGAGCACCTCGCGAACATGGACAAGGTCAATCTCCCTGCGCATCGCAAACATTCAACGGTGATCTGCCGCTTGGTCCAAGTGCCATCATTGCTACGGAGAAGCAATACTGTTGTCACCGCATTCTGCCTCAAATCACGGAGGGGCAACCAAGAATGACACATGGCTTTATAAGTACATTGAGCCAGCCACCTGAATGTAGGCGAAGTGTTTCACGGGCTTTTGGTAGGGGCCGATTACTCACTACTCCCTTGTCAACGTCACTCTGCATCTACACTGAGTCGCTCAACATTGAGGAAGAGGAATGACGAGAACATGTTCGCAGATGTCAAGCATCATGTCGTTGGAGGGTGCTGCATGTGTGACGGCCGATGAGGCCAATGTCTAATTGCCTTGGCGTCAATTCACACCGGATCAGTGGAAGTCGCCGCCTGTCTAATATCGTTCATCATTCAAAAACCTTGAAGTGGGAATTGGAGACTGGAGGTTGCATGGAAACTCACACTGACAGACTGATCTTTCAGATGACCGAAGCGGATGAATCAGTCCATCTCGCCCACGAACCTGACTCCAGAGTATTCCGGCTGCGCAGAGTTCCTGTTCCAGGCATGTGGCCCCATGGCCCCCAAGTCTGAGACGATCTGTGACCTAGGCGGGCTTGATAGTGCGTTAAGATGAGTTCACTAACACTACGCGCAGATTTGTTAGCGTAGTATGGCCACCCGAAAGAAACAAACTGAAACGGGTTTGCCGACTTTTAAATAGTCGTCCGATAGCATTTGAGTTTTCCTCCCAGGTTCACTGCTGTGCAATGTCAACCCCTCTTGGCACACATCTGCGACTTGGTGTGACAGCACGCTCAGCCACTCGCGAGGACCACAATTTGCTCTCAGCGAAGAAGGCATTCCGGATAGAGATGGCCCCGTAACTGAAACGGTTCTTCCTCGAGCAACTCTCCTCCACCAGTCCGAATCTGTCACTAGTGCTGCTACTGCACGGTCAATGATGGCAATCCAGCTTCTTCTCAGCAAGACGAGATCCCCGCTATCCTTGCGATGGTGTGGTTCTCGTGCCTTGCTTGACCCGCTGCGCACGGGATAACCCTGCCGACAGCAGCAGCGGACGCTTTCCTCCCCTACACCTAGTCAACATCTCTAGTGTGTCAACATCACGGGCAGTCGACAAACCCCCCGCACGACTGGTTTGAGAACATGGCACCTTTCTACTACACTGGAGAACTTCACTGAGACTAGTCAGGACCCGAGCGCAAATCCCCGCGGGCCGCCGCAACGTTGACATGAATAAGCTTGTCTACGAGCCATGTTCACCTTGTCCGTGTGCTTTCCCAAGGGTACTGCCTTGGCGATCGCCTCCGAACTCCCGCTATGCAGGCCATACATGAGTCCGGATCGTCTCGACTCTGAGTCTAATTTTGGACCTGCAGGCTTATTGAAGCCTGTCACAGCGCCGTTTCTATCACCTGTCCTCAAGCGAGAGACTTTCGAGCGTGGCATCGTACTCTTCTGTGGCGAGCTGCCCTCTCCTCGCTCGCACACCTCAACCTTGCCCCCTGAGCCTAGATCTTACACTCGGTCCAACTGGGTCGGTCATTCTGGAACTCACGATTCTTTTGTTCAGCGCACTCCTCAAACAGGCCCCTGCACTTGACTTAGTAGTGTCTGGTTGTGTCTGGGTCGGATAACCATCACGGTGGTGATTGTCCGGAGAAGAGCAGATTCAACCGACTAAGCCTAGTGGAGCATCACGCACCCACACCTCGTCGGCGAACGACTTTATATCTAAACCGAGACTTTCGTCTCTTCTCTGTCGGTCCGGATCTTCTGCTCCCCAACCTACTCGTTCGCCTCCTTCTCTTCTTTTCATCTCATTCTTTTTCTCTTTATAGTCTACTGCGTGGACTTCCTTTCCTTTTCCTTTTCTGTTAGGCTTGACGCCACAGAAGTTTCCACTTTACGACAATTACCTAGTCTCTATGTTTGTTTAGCAAACCGCGTCTCGATGACTTTCACTCTCTCATGGCGCCAAGCCGCCGTGGCAGCGTTGTTGTTCAACGCGGCGGTAACGGCCAACTACGATACTCGACGAAATAATGAAGCCTCGGAAGATACAAAGCGGGCTTTGAATGTTGCCTCCGTAAAGGCTCGAGGCCTGAATGTCAGAAACTTTGTACAGAAGTTGGACGTCGATAGTGTATTGTCTGCTCTTGGCAGTAATAACAAGGCACAGGGTTCGTCATGCACATCATAGATTGGTATCAAATGCATAAACTGACTCTATCTAGGCGATGGGACTCCGGAAATAGCTCCTCTTGCTGCTGATGGGGCTGTTCCTGCTGCCCCTCAAGCCCAACCGGCAGCACCACCGGCACCGGCTGCGGGAGAGGCTCCTCCTCCTCCTCCCCCGGCAAATGGAGCAGCACCTCCTCCTCCTCCTCCGGTGAACGGTGCACCTCCTCCGCCTCCCGATCCAAACGCTGCTCCTCCTCCTCCGCCGCCTAACGGTGCTCCTCCACCACCGCCTGACCCAAACGCGGCTCCCCCGCCTCCGCCCCCCGCGAATGGCGCTCCTCCACCTCCTCCTCCGGCTAACGGTGCTCCCCCGCCACCATCACCTAACGGAGCACCGCCGCCGCCGCCTCCCGATCCAAATGCCGCTCCCCCAGACCCGAACGCACCTCCTCCACCACCTCCTGATGGAGCGCCGCCGCCGCCGCCTGATCCAAATGCAGAGCCACCACCACCTCCTCCAGAGGGAGGACCGGCTCCTGACCCGAATGCCCCTCCCCCGCCACCTCCTGATGGAGGTCCAGCTCCCGATCCCAATGCTCCTCCACCACCACCTCCAGACGGCGAGGCACCTCCCCCTCCTCCTGATGATGGGCCTTCACCACCACCTCCCGATGGAGGACCGGCTCCCGACCCTAACGCTCCTCCTCCACCACCGCCTGATGCCGAGGGAGCTCCACCACCGCCGCCAGAGGCTGCTCCCGCTGTAGCTGGTGAGCCTCTTGCGCCATTGGCCGTAGGGGCTCCTCCTCAACCTGCTGCAGCTCAACCTCCTCCTCCTCCCGCTCTCGCGGGAAATGGAACTGACCCTGCAGGCAAGAAAGGAAAGAAGGGCAAGGGCAAGGATGACGCCGGCAAGAAAGCAAGGGACGATGCAAAGAAGGCAAGAGACGAAGCCAAGAAGAAGGCTGAGGGACAGCTAGCAGGTGCTGCTGGCCCCGGCCAGGCGGCCGCCAACGGAACAGCACCTGCGCCTCCGGGCAAGAAGGGAAAGAAAGGCAAGGATGCCAAGGGCAAGGACGCAAAGAAGCTGAAGGATGGAAAGGGCAAGGGGGCGATTCCCGGCGCCGCAGGTAATGGCACCGAAGCCGTTGGACCAGATGGAAAAGCCAAGAAGGCCAAGAAGGACAAGAAGGCTAAAGGCAAAGCCGCACTTCTTCCAGGAGCGGCCGTGAACGGCACGGCGCCAGCAGGTCCAGATGGCAAAGCCAAGGGCAAAGGCAAAGACGATGACCCCGAGGCGAAGAAGAAGGCCAAGGACAACGGTCCCGAGGGTGCCGCTGGGCCCGCCGAGGAAGCTGCGGGTGGACCTGAAGGCAAAGGCAAAGGAAAAGGTGACGACCCCGAGGCTAAGAAGGCAAAGGAAGCGGCTGCTGGGGGAGAGGGAGCAGCAGCCGCAGGGAAATCGGCTGGAGCAGCATTTGAAAGACGTCGACGAGCGAGCTTCGTGAAGCGGCGAAACCTCATGTCCAATTTTGGCTGGTGATCTGAGATCAAATTCTTGTGCTGCTAGCCCATCGTACTCTCACTCACTCATGGGTATCAATGGGCGACATTCTGCATACAATGTTTTCATTACACTATCTCACTCGTTTCTATACATTCAAAACCTCCAATCGCTGTCTGGGACAGAAGATTCATAAATTAGTGTGTGTGCGGAAGGCGAGGACTGATTCTGTGGTATAATCCTGTGGAAAATCGTCTCGCGAGAGTTGAGATAAAATCCAAAAAGAAATAAAAAACGATAAAACAACACCAACAAGGACTCGGCCAGTGAAGACGTGCGCATTTCCGACGCGGGAAATATGTCTGCTTCTGATTTGACGGGTAACGTTTTAGACTTTTCCGTCTGATCAGGAACGCATGAAACCGTACTATTTCAGGAACAAGAGGAACAACCCCGCTAGGGCAGCACACGCCCCGTTCTTGGGCTGAAGGTTGTCTTCTTCGCATATGACTCGACATGTTCTGTATCCGGAGATACACACAACGATTCCCCCCTTACCGTCGCGAACGATCGATTGTCAACGGCCGTCAGTGTATCGCATTGGACATGAACGACAGCTCCCCAAGGTAAAGCAGTCATCGCCGACAGCTTTTCGTTCAGCCAAGGTTTTGGCAGGGGTATACCACGCAATGCTACATGAGTAAGACGTGTGTTCTTGAAATCTAGACTAGACATGCAATTGCCGATCAGACCGTATCAACTACTCATCAATACATCACGTTGCTAGAACGTATCGGCTATGCCCCTCCAGAATTAAGATACTCAAGCTGGCTTGAAAGAGCGCCAGGAGAGTCTCGAGAACTCGGCGGCACATTTGTTCATGCAGGTGATAGTGATGTGTGTGGTTAGAATGGATGTCACACTCGCCCCAGCTGTCTCAGTCACATCAATGAAGTGGTGGGCTGCCCGTTGGGTTGGGACTGCCGAGACTAGAAAGTTTACTCTGTGAAATCGAAATCTTGTGTTCCTGTGCCTTGTCCTGCAGAGCAGTTTCATAAGAAGCTAGGATGCGCCAACAAAACATGCGGGACCGAGGAGGGGCGACAACATGCTTCTGGCGTTTGGCACTCAGCGATACTTTAACACCTAAGGTACCTCAGGTACATGAGATTTCAAAGAGCAGTATGATTAACAAACAATAGCCTCTGTAGCAGTGTAGTCGTTCATCTCTTACACTATGGAACCTTTTCTAGAATACGACACGGAAGTTGATCTTCCTCTATGTTGTCATATGCATGGTCGAATGGCTAAAAGGTCGACGTCAAAAGTCAAATGCCCATATCTTGGGTTCGAGCAAGATGAGAGACTATCACTGCGTTCAATGGCCGTGCAGGCTCACAAAACCTTCACCGCTAGGTTGAAGTTCATCGATTAGAGAACGGAGAGCCCTCATGCCTGAGATTTCCAATCATGATTCAGTACTATTTGTCGTTGTTGGTCAAAGAATCTACAGCTCTCACACTCATTCTATCCACTTGAATTGGATGGATTCAATACGTTTCTGATTAGTTTTGGAATGCCCACAGTTGGTGATTTTGATCAATCAAATACAAGGAACGGTTTGGGCCAACATGTATGAAGTCAACTTGAAGATTTGTGAATCGGGCCGCTCAATGGGTTTGCGTATTCAAGTGAGAGAAACTTACTGACCGTTCTAGAGCAGGGAGCATTTCGCCATGACATATCTCCGGATCGAGGTACGACGATTTGATAGAAAGTTTTCTAGCTCGCCACTTCAAAGTTATGTTTCCACGAGGCCTGTGACCTGGATTCGTCATTGTACTCGGGCCACCTTTAGAATCGGAGAAACTATTGACACCTGGGTCTGTTTACTTGCAATCCTCAGACATCCTGATATTGAGAGTGTTGAGAAGCGATACGCTGATGAGCACACCTAATTACCTTGTGAATCGAACTTGAGACAGTCCGGAATAGCTGGACGGAAGCGCGCCCGAAATTCCGGCCCGCCCCGCCGTTCTGTGGAGAGACCGGCCGGCAGATGACGGTGTTCCTACAGTGGAGAGTGACATAATCTAAAATTGACCCTCCGGAGTTTAGCCATCATCCTCTTCCGGAACAACAACCAACCCAACTGCGTGGGTGGGGCCGTTGATTAACCGTCCCTAGCCTTGGAGCCCGGCCTCCATAAAGGCTCTCTCGCCTCATCCTATGGCCTACCTTATTCCATCTGAGGAGTCTTGGTTTATCCGCCTCGACTTACCTATTTGAAGCTTCATGATGGCCACAGTCACTCAACAGCAACACGCGTTGACAGAGTCTTATGAACTTGCCGAAGCACCCAAACAACCCCGCAGCGAACAAGTTCTAGGATCCGATTACCCTGCAGACACTGGCCAGAGCGACAAGCTTGACAATGCCACACTCCTGAAGCTCATAGCCTCAGGCTTCGCCTTCTTCATCTCTGGAGTCAATGACGGCAGTGTCGGTCCTCTTCTTCCCTACATGATCCGCGACTATAACATCACCACAGCAGTCGTTTCTATTATGTGCGTAGCGAAAGCCATGATTCTGAACTTGGCTTCAAAACTAATTTCTGATCCAAGCTACGGAGCAAACTTCCTCGGGTGGTTCCTTGCTGCCCTTACCAACACTCATCTCCGACAAAAGTTCGACCTTGGCGGACTGCTCGCTTTCGGCGCCTTCTTCCAAGTCTTGGCCCATGCACTCCGGGCATGGCGACCTCCCTTCCCATTTTTTGCCGTCACGTTTTGGCTCGTATGCCTCGGACAGGCCTACCAAGATGCAGGTGCAAATGCGTATGTAGCTAGCGCCAAGGCTGCACATCGATGGCTGGCCTTTATCCATGCATTGTACATGGCGGGTTGTCTCGTTGCCCCATTTGTCGCGACTCCAATTGCATCGGCTGGGGAGACCTCTCGATGGTATCTCTTCTACATTTTCCCACTCGCCATTGGTGTTCTCAACTTTGCCCTGACCTGCTACGCCTTCCGAGACACTATCAAATTTGGACGTAAAAAGAACGGGGAGACCGAGCCAGAAGCAGGGACTAACGACGAAGAGAAGAAGAGCGCATCCCAACTAATGAAGACTGCTCTACGATCCAACTCTCTTTGGATGGTCAGTATCTTCTTTTTTTTCCTACTTGGAGCGACGATTACGGCAAGTGGATGGATTGTCGAATACCTCGTTGAGATTCGTGGTGGTAATCTCGGCGCCATGGGTTATGTCCCGGCGGGCTTCAATGGAGGAGCCATGCTTGGTCGCCTTCTTTTGGCTGAACCTACCTATCGTCTAGGTGAGAGGAGAATGATTCTGCTTTATGTGGTGCTCTGCATCGCCTTTCAGTTGGTATTCTGGTTGTGAGTATAAAAGCCGTCAAGCTCGTGACTCCTAGAGTCTAATGCGTCTGAAACAGGGTGCCAAACATCATCGCAGCTTCAGTGGCCATTAGTTTCTTTGGATTCTTTTCTGGCCCTCTCTTTGCCACGGTAAGTTGTGCGACTACTGGTGCAGGACCCAGATGTCTAACGATTTCTAGGGTATATCTGTTGGATCTAAACTCTTCTCACCAGAGGTGCAACCAACAGCCCTCTCATTCGTGTTTGTGATCGGGCAGATTGGTGGATCTCTGTTCCCCGTCATTACGGGAGTAATCGCATCTCGCATAGGCGTCAGTGTGCTGCAGCCTATTCTGATTGCCCTAATTGCAGGAACAGGAATCAATTGGATGCTGATACCGAAGCCTAAAGAATCGTCAAACACCGCTTTGCACCAGGAGTAGAGATTGAGACAGCCAGTACACATGTGGACATCAAGAGGCTCGAAAAGGTAGCCAATCAAAGCTCTTGCTCAAAGATGAAACAGCAATTCATGAAGCAATAAAATCTGATTCAAGGCTAAGGATTGCGTGTCGAGGAAAGACATTTAGGTGTTGATTAGCGTGACAAGACGCGGTGAACCAATATCACCAAGATGCCACGAGGGGATGCAGTTGTGTGGGCTTCGAAATGGCGCAATCCCCATTTGTATCCCTGCCTTGAGTACAAAAGTCTTTGGACGTTACTGGGAGGCATCAGTGGAACAACTGAGCCAAGGATACCAGAGTCCCATTGTGACAGCCGAGAATCCTTCGCGTGTCTTTGCACTCGATGTGGAGACATATTAAGCACGCCATGATAACTCAGATCGCGAAACACTGAGCCACCGCTATCGGGGAAACAGTACCAGGATGTGGAAGATATTTCAAGTTCATCTTCGTGATTTTGAAAGTGCGTAGTCTTCACGTTATGTTCCGAATCTAGGCTGTCATTCAACCTGGCGATCTCAGACGAGTTTTCTGCCGCCAGCTTTAATCTATATCGCGATTGCTATCTACAGCCTGTTGACTGAACGCTATTCGCCTGCGACCCAGGACAGTCCGTGCAACATGGCTTCTCCAAAGTCTCAACCAATCGAGGCACACTCGGCAATTGACGAGGATGCAGTACCGGAGTTTGAGGCTCCTGGCATCGGCAAACGAACATGGTACCGAACTGTCTTTTTCCAGGCCACTGTCATTGGCCTTTGCGCATTCTTCGCCCCGGGCCTTTACAATGCCATGCAATCGACGGGTGCAGGTGGTCAACAGACTCCGTACCTCGTTATGTAAGTCTCCGTTCAAACTTTGAAGCATTCTCATTCGCCGAACCCCTTCAACTGACTGACCCCAAAGGTCCGCGAATGCAGTTTTAGGAGTCATGATGGTTGTAACATGTTCCATGGGAAGTGTGGTCGCCAACAGAATTGGCCTCAAAAATGCCCTGATCTTCGGCACGACTGGATAGTAAGTCACCTCTAGCCTTGAGTATGAGATGAATAGAAATTTCAAGTACGGAGATTAATCCAACATGGTGCAGTGCTCTGTACTCAGCGTCGCTGTACACAAACAACCGATACGGCAATGAGTGGTTCGTCTACGTCGGTTCTGCTGCTTGTGGTATCACTGCCGGTGTTTTCTGGGCTGCAGAAGGCGCGATCATGATCAGCTGTAAGTCATCTTAGCCTTGGGCGGCCTACTAGAATCCATTTAACTTCGAAGCATAGATCCGGAAGACCAGAAACGCGGCAGGTATTTAGCCTA